ACCTTCAGGGTGGTACGTCTGGCTCATTTTAGCTTCTTTTAGAAATGGAAAGATGGTGGCAGAGGGCTGTGACTGGGTTATTTATGCTGAATGGTGCGAGGCTGTCCTCTGGTGCGAGGCTGTCCTTAAAACGGGGAGACCCCCGTTTTAAGGAAACTTGACAGAGAAAGGAATACCAAAGAACAGATGGAAGGCGGGGGTGGGGTGGGGGTGGATCCAGCCCCCGGGAGGCCCAGATAGAACAGAGATATTTCTGTGCATGACAAATTGAAACCGTGATCCTAGGAAGAGACAACCAATCAAAAAATGGAGTTCGCCAGTCACAAGTGACTCAACCTGAGGTTTCAAACTCACTCCAAACCCCAACTCTGTGTGCTGTGCCTCTCCCTGTGACTGCCTGCAATTGTCTCTTCTTTTAATGGCGTCCTCATAAACCTTCGCTTTCTTCCTATTCTCTGCCTCCGTCAATTCTTTTATACTAACCTGAAGCTCCTCAAATCCACGACATCACCATGCAAAGAGCAAAGTGCAGGAGTAGAAATGCATTGGAGAGGAGCAAGCAAGCAAGCAAACAAAGAAACAAACGGCTTCCCCAACCCAAGGGGAGTTTGCTATGACTTAGAGGCCGTGGTGAGAAGGGAGGAAGGCAGTGAGGGCTCACACACCAGCCCATGGCTCTCTGGCTGTTTGCTGCAGTCTGCTGGAAGAATATGTTCACTCTGGGGGGTGGTGGGGGGATTTGAAATCTCTTCTTAAAAGCATGAGTCTCATGGGACTGAGTCACAGGCAAGCAGTTGCTCCCCAGAGGGCAGTTTCACAAAACCTACTTGTCACCGAGTCTGTTTTGTTTTATTAAAGAATGCCAGGCTGAGCGTTCCTTCCCGTTCTCATGCTTTGGATTGGAGAATGCAGAAAGGAATTTGCCTGTGCAGAGCACGGCCAGCAGGATAGAACGGGGCACCCCTCACTGCCTCTGGACGCCCCATGAAATCACCTGGACTCTGTGGTCAGTGAGCAGGGGCCAGCAGGGTGGAAAGGGCTGCTGTTTGGTAAAGGAGGTGCAAGGCGCTGGTGACCTGCCAGCTCCACGTGGAAAGCAAAACCCTTGTGTGGAGTCAAGTTGGCCCCATCCTAGGTCCATCAATGCTGTTGCATGGCCTTGGCTATGGAAGGGGAACAAGAACAACATCCCAAGCAGAATCACATTACCTCCACAAGCAAGACAGCTGGGCTACCCTCTACCCTGGCAGGCGGGCACAGTTGACAAAGTCCTCCACCTAAGTTTCCTGTAGTGTCGCTTATGCCAAGCCAATATTTCAGCTTTGGGTTAGAATGAAGAATTCACCTTCTTTAAGCTGGGAGTGGTGGCACACACCTGTAATCTCAGCACTCAGGAGGCTGAAGCAGGAGGATTTTGAGTTCAAGGCCAGCCTGGGCTACAGAGCAAGATCCTGTCTCAGAAAAAAATAACCAACAAAACAGAACAAAAAGTCTCCAAACAAACAAACACCAAAAAAATTCTTAGGCTATAGCTCCCTTCCTTCTTGCTCCCTTTGCATCTACATTGCCATTTAACCCCTCAGTGTGACCGGTCAGATTTGCATGCCTACTTCTGTATCAAGCTGTGGAGAGGAGGGGCCACAGAATTCCTTCCCTCCAAACCCTCTGCCTGCTACATTGCTGACAGAGCAGAGAGCAGAGGATTCTTAGACCCCGAGGGACAGATTTAATAATAAAAGTTACTTCCTTACCACGGTTGGGTTTTTTAACAAGTCAGATCTTCACCCTGTTAATAATTGGCTTTTTCCTTTATGGCTAGTGGGAGGGAGATGAAGTCTGAGCTGCTGAACTATTCATAGATCAACTTATTTCCTGCTGTGCTGGTCCATGAATCTTCCATCCTAGGAGACAGACTCCTATAAGCAGGGGCTGCACTGAACCAGCAATAGAGACCTCATTCTGTTGTATCTCCCTCCCTCCCTCCCTCCCTCCCTCCGTGCCTGCCTTCCTTCCTTTCTTCCTTCCTTCCTTTCTTCCTTCCTTCCTTCCTTCCTTCTTTCCCTCTTTCCCTTCCTTCCTTCCTGCTGGTACTGGAGTTTAAGACCTTGTTATTGGTAGTCAGGTGCTCTGCCACCTGAGCCATGCCCTTTTGACTGCAGTTATTTTTCAGGTTGGGTCTTGCATTTTTGCCTTAGGGCTGGCCTCAGGCCACAGTCCTCCTATCTACAGCTTCCCATGTAGCTGGGATTACAGACATGAGCCACTGTGCCTGGCTCTTCTATCTGTTTTCTTGTTTTAGTAAACACTGGGCATTTCCAAGGTGGCTGCCATATGTTTTGGTGTAAGCCCCTGCCCTTAAGCAGCTTGCAATCCAGTTGGAACTCCAGATGAAAATGACACACAATCTATGAGAGAACCACACAGACAACAGATTCAGACATAGGTTGGCGTTTCCTGGTGGGTAGGTTGTAAAACCAAACAGATGAACCATAGTGAGCAGTGACCAAATAGAGACGAATAAGTAAGATAGTGAGAACATAGTGCAGGTTCTGTAGTGAGAACAAGAATTGTTTTGTGAAAACTTGGCTCTGTTTCATGGATATAAACATCCTACTTACCGAGGGTCATGATCAAATGTGTTAGAAGCCTCTGATGAGCTGTGCATGGGAATGGTGGGATTTCACAGATGCTGCAGGGGACTCTCAGAGGGTCTGGGGTACAGACACCTGAGAATCAATTGAAAACCAGTGAGCATCTCTGGTGGGTTTTGCAGCCTGTTCACAGCGCCTAGTTCTATCCCTCTGGTCTGGAGCTCAAGGTCAGGAGGGAGGCTGTGGGAGGGTCTTAATCTCCCAGGCCTCGAGCTTCTGATAAGGAGTTAAGGCTTCCCAAGTGAAGTTGGGGTGCCTCCAAGCACGAGTTGCTCCTCAGACACTTTGCATGTCAAGAAGATCCTCCTGGAAGTATCCAGAGGCCAGAAGTCCAGCTCAGAAGTTTTGTCATAGCTTGTGAGGCGTGACAAATACCAGCTAGAAGTTAGTTGTGTAAAAGCATCATTAAGGACTGGGTGTGGTGGTGCACTCATGTAATCCAAGCTACTTGGGGGGCAGAGTTAGGAGGATGGCTGGCCAAGGCTGGCCCAGACAAAATAGCAAGATTCTATCTGAAAACAAAGAAAGCAAAAGGACTAGGGGTGTGGTTCAGGTGGTACAGCACTTGCCTAGCAAGTGTGAGGTGCTGAGTTCAATTCCTGGTACCACCAAAAAACCAAACCAAAAGGACCAAATGAAACTAACCCCTTGCTTTATAGGGGGAAGCAAGGCAGAAAGGCTCCAGGTGGCTCTTGAGTATCCAGCATTGCTTGGCCGTGGTCCTTGCTGAGTGGAGGAAATACAGAAGGATGCTGGTTAAGGGATGTGTGCGGGGCTCTCTCCTGCAGCCCGTGTGTCCCCCCAGCCCTCTCTGTGCAAGCAGGCATGTCTGTGATGCAGGAGACAGCTACTAAATCAGGGGTGGCTGAGGGGGTGTGAGAGCTGGAGGACGAGGGGCCTTTGCATTTGAGTTGGGGTTTCTTTTGGGAGGATCAATTTGGTGGTGGCATCAGACAGCCTTAGGGACTCTGAGATCCACGTTCACAAAGGAAGTGGCAGGCCAGGTCCTCAGGGTGACCTGGAGCAGGGGGCAGATGATGTGTGAAATGGAGCTTGGGCTTCTGGAGGTGAGGGAAACACCGGGGAAGAGGCTGGGCCCACCACGTAGGGACCGAGGCCCTGCAGGCTATGGTGCACCATGGATCTGCATTTGGTGAGCCTGCCCAGCCCCACTCCTCACGCTTCTGCTAGGAAGCCCTTAACCAGATGGTGCTCCTGACCTGGGTCCAACTGTGGTTTGCTGAGTGTCTGATGTCCCAGTTACCGAGCAGTCCCTCAGTCCCACTGATGGCCCAGCACTGACCCCACAGCCCTAGTGCTTGGTGCTGCCCACTGGGGCCTGGGCCTGAGTCTCATGAGCCCCGTCCCATCCCATCTGCCCGCCATTTACCATGGACTGAGCTTGTCCCAGTCCATCTGGGTCACCACCCTGTCTTACCCAGGTCCCCATCCAGGCTGCACTCTGGTGGCCTCATTTCCGCTGGATTCCAATGGGCCTCCAGGGGGACACGGGTTCAGGACCCCCACCTTTTCTGACCCCACCATGTTTCTTTCTATGACAGAAGCAGAGGTTGTGGGTGGGAACTCGGTGCTCACTCACACTTGCTGTGGGCTGCCACGAATCTGAGTTAGAGTCAAATTTGTGTCTGATTATCTGGGTGAGCTCCTTGATCATTTGTCGTAATAACACCAAGCATTTCCTGATGTTGGCATTGCATACAAACTGTGCCATGGTGGCGGAGTGCTCAGGGCTGAAACTCCTTTTCTAATAAGAAAAATGCATATGGAGTAAACGGAGTCTACAAGAGCGAGTCCTTGCCTGGCTCAAGCATCGCCTCCAAACTGCAGCCACTCCTCATGGGCCCCAAAAAAGAGGATTATCGGATTCCTGTTTGATGGCTCAGCCATTTGGCAACTAAAGAAAGACGATCTCAGAATCCCACGAGCGTCCAGATGGAGCGAAGTAACAGTCCTGTCTCATGGGTGGCCATGGCAGTGGAGACGAGAGGAGACAGAGTGTAAAAAGCACCAGTACAAGGTCTGGCATGTGCTGGGATCTCGGTCAGGGCCAGTTCTTCTTTCTCTTTAGGAAGACCACAAAGTCCCCAGTCCACAGACTTTCCATCGGCAGAGGCAGTGACAAAGACATTGCAGCCTTGGTGTGGACATCTCGGTAGCTGAGAAGTCAGTCAAGAGTCTAGAGATTTTTATGCAGGAAAAGAAGCAGGTGGAAAACAGGAGGTGAGTTGCTGAAAGACCTGTTCCAATCTCAGCTTTGTTTCTTCTTCCCCGAGGGACCTTAGGTGAGACATCCTTGCAGAGTCCCAGTGTCGTCATCTGTGAGTGGAGAAAGACCAGCTAAGAATGCCGGTCCATGGAGAATTCTTTCACAGCGAGTGCAAAGCTGCTTCACTTGTCATGACAGCGTCATTTCTCAGGTATCTTAGTGGGTGTTCAAAACGGCTTTCTGATAGGTGCTGGAGACCATTCATTCATTCACCTACCAAGTACTTATTGAGTGCCTGCTTGGGCAGGCAGCACACACACGGGTCGTGGAAGGCTCTGTAGGCACGAACCACCGCAGTGTGGGTCTAGAAACACCTGTAGTCTGACTTTGCCAGGCAGACATGGGGAATGGGTTCCCTGGTCTCCTGACCATCCAGCCCATTCCTGGTTGGGATGTCTTTGTGGGCGCCCTCACTTGAGGAGCCTCTCTTTAATCTTATACTTTTTTTTGGTGTGTGTGGGGGTACTGGGGGATTTGAACTCAGGGCTTCACACTTGCTAGGTCAGTGCCCTATCACGTGAGCCATGCCTCCAGCTCTTTATGATATGTTATTTTGAAGAAAGGATCTTGCTTTTTGCTCAGGCTGGCCTGATCTAGAATGCTTTCGATTTCAGCCTGGGATAACAGGCATTCACAACCACGCCAGGATTTTTATGTTGAGATGGGCTCTCTTGAATTTTTTGCCTGGGCTGGCCTTGAACTGCGATCCTCCCGATCTCTGCTTCTCTAGTAGCTAGGATTACAGGTGTGAGCCACTGGTGCCTGGCTCAACTTATCTTTCTTGTCCAACCCTTACCTGTGCAGGCTAAGCCAGTGCCCTTGCTCTGTGGTCCCCGCCTCCACCTTACCCCCTCCCTGAAGCTTTCATGGAAACAGACGGCTGTTCTCGAGAGTACAAAACAGTGCTTCCAGCCAGAAGCCACATAAGGAAGACGTGCAGAGGGTCCTGGTTCTCTTTTCAGACAGCTTCCTCACCCCTCCCTGGGTCACCCCAACTTGTGAGCCTCTGTTCCCTGGAAGCAAACACTGTTCACTATAGTTTAGTGTCTTTCCTCTCCTTCCTCCACCTGCTAAATTCTATCCAAATGCTCTGAGGCCCAGCCGTGAGTTCTTCCCCAACATCTGTGCTCATAGAGCTGCTGAGGTTTTGCTGGGCGCCTGACTCAAAGTGAGAAATCTCTCTCAGCCTTCCTGAATGCCTGGTGTAGCCTGAGAGCAGGAACCGGTTCCTTCCCATCTCTCTTGTGGGCAGCAGTGTGTAGGTGGTGTCAGGACTCAGTGATTACAGAGCAACCAGTTGGAAGGTGTCTGGGCTCTTACGATGGTGCAGCCTGACACATCTGCCTGGGGCCACTCATGCCCAGAGAAAACTATGGTTCTTTCTCTCTCCCTGTCAAAAGCCACAGTTACTCAGTTCTCATTAGAAACCCCAATCTGTTGCCCTAAAATCTCATTCTGCTCTGTGAAGTCCTTCCTTCCCTTTCCTATAGAGTCCCAAATCCTGGGGTGTCACTTCAGTGAGAACTGTGCTGTCTGTCTGGGCTTATGGTCCCTCCACAGTCAAGCCCTTAGAGAGGAGGAACCAGTCCTTCTGAGTGTGTGCCTGGCCTGAGGGCTAATAGGATTCTTTGCCTTTTTTTCTCTTTTGAGATTAGGGTCTTGCTCTGTAGCCTAGATTGGCCTAGAACATGCAATTCTCTTGCTTTTGCCTCCTGAGTGCTAGGATTATAGGTACAGGCCACCATGCCCAGGAAACACTCTGTTTTTCTACTGAACATGTTTAGTGTCAGTCCTTAGTGACTGAAGAATGACTTCCTGCTTCCAACCAAAAGACTGTACAGCTGCACCGTCCAATGGGAATTACTGCAAGCCACATAGGTCATGTCAACTGTTCTAAGAGCTACATTTTTAAAAAACAAAAAGAACTTGGAGAAGTCAATTTAGCTATATGTTTTTTTAAAAGCTCAACATACCCAAATATTGTCATTTTCATAAGTGATCAATATAAAACTTACTACTAAGAAAGTTTTACATTCTTTCTTTTCCCTCCGGGCTAAGTCTTTGGATTCTGGCATGTGTTTGTCACTTGTAGCACATGCTTTACATGGTGGATGTCACCTGTGTGGGCAGATGCTGTACTGGGGCGTCAACCCTGGAGGACCCTGAGCAGCCCTGGAGGGGTGGGGACAGCCCGGGTGGGTAGGATGGAGCAGGGCATTGCTGTGACGCAGAGATGAGGGATTCCCTTCAGAAGCAAGTTCATAGCACTCGCTTGGCACAGGGCTCTGCAATTCATGGTGTGTTTGGGGTCTTGGTGACTAAGTGCTGCTGCTGGGTGACGGGGGAGGAGAACAGCCACTGAGGGGAGAAGGAGAGGCATTTGTGGGAGGTCTGGGTAGTGGCCACGCTTGGGTAAGCCAGTGAGGTGTGCAATCGAGGACGCTTCTGTTTGACATCACTGCTACAGGCGGTGTCACTGACTGTGGTCCCTTTGTTGTCTAAAATGCAGGTTCTAATATGACCTTAGCTGAGAGGCACTGTGGCCTGGGGCAGAGTGGACTTCTGCCTGAGTGTCGTTTCCACTCTCTGAGCCTCAGTTTCTCGAGGAAGTCCAGCACCACTGTGGAAAGCACAGAGTGATCGCTTCAAAGGAGCCCATTCCAATGTCACAGCACAGAGACACTGGGTCAGCTCTGACAACCCTAGGGGCCATCAGACTCCTAGGTTCCATGGAGTCACCAGAGGGACAACATTTTTCTTGGATCAGTGAAGCAACTGGTGCCTTCCATCTAAGGTATCTGGCCAGGGAAAGTTGGCCTGGGAGAAAGTGACCTCAGAACGCTAGGGCAGGAGAGTGGCTGCCACATGGGCACGCACCAGTGACTATACACATGAGGTAGGCACAGAGGGACCTTACTCTTCTTGCTCTTGGGGAAGCCCTGCTTCGTGCTCTGGGGTCTACAAGGAATTCTGGGTTTGAGCTCCAGATTGAGCTTGGAGGACTCCCAACCATTGCCCAGATCATTTGAGGTGAGGGAAAGCAAAAAAAGCCCTACTAAGTTCTCCACTTGCCAATGTCTCAGACCAAAGTGTGGTTTTTGGCTTGCATTTTCCAGGTAACAGCCTTGGCTTCCTCCAAGACTTTCCATGCTCATTAAAGACTTTGGCTGTCCTATGGCAGCCACTGTGGGAGGAGGGGGTGCTAGAGGCCAGTTTGGAATTGGTTTTCTGAAGCGAGCAGGACTGGGTTCCAAAGCCAGAATGTACGTGTGTCCTGGCAGTGATGGAGACGGTGGTCACAGTCCTGGTCTGGAAAACCTGATTTGCAAAGGTTTAGAAATGTCTGTTTCTACACGTGGGAGGTTGCCAGACCTGTTGGAGGTGGCTGTATTTGGGTGAGAGTTGGTGAGGAAATAGAAGTGTTAGGTCAGAGCCAAACTCTGCTGAGAAAATCACCAGGCCAGCATTGTACGAGGCTGGCCAAGGCCAAGTACATCTTTGGTGGAAAATGGATTCTCAGAGAGGAAACATGTGACTAGATACAGTTCCTTCTGGTTCCCCAGCCTGTAGGAACGGCCAGACACATTCCACATAGGATGCTAGTCTGGAAAGACCCAGGCTTTGCCATGTGTCCAGGGTTTCCTTGGGGGGTCAGCTCCCTTGGTGGCCCCATCCAGAAGGGCAATGCCCTGGGGGCGTTTGGTGCAAGCTGGGTGCTCAGCAGTGCTTGTGGAAGGGACGTGTGCGATGGAGAAGAGGGCGAAGTGGCTCTTGTCACCTCCCTGTTCCCCTTTCTGAGGCATTCCTCATGTGTGGCATGAATAGAGAATGGAAACTGCTCTCCTTACCAGAGTCTCAGCCCTGCTTTGTTGCCTCAGCCTCTCAGGAAGGGAGAAAAGCTGTCCAGTGAACTTGACGGGCACATGCATTCTAGGATGTTAGGGATTCGGCGTGTCACCCGCAGTCTCCAAGTGACTGAGCCTGGTTGGCTGGGTCTGAACCAGGACTCTGCTCTTGCTGTGTTGCGAGGCAGAGGGCACTTGAGTCTCTGACACTTAGTCTTTTCGCTTGGGAGATGGGAGTGTGGGCTTCAGGGGATTGAGTGAAATGTGCTTTGGTACACAGGCGTGTGCTCCACAAGTGTGCAGTGCTGGACTCTGGGTAAGAGCCTCAAAGTTATTCGTGTAATTTTCTCCTTGCTTTCTAGAGCATGTGCCAAGGGGCTGGCACCGGAGTAGCAGAAGCTGAGGGGAGGCTTGAGTTTGTGTCAGAAAAACCCCTCCACCACCTCGTTGCCCAGCAGGGAGTTGACCGGATGGCTTTGTGAAGGTGGAGTCAGCTTTTGTGGTAGACAGGGGAGAATCGTTCAGCGAGGTGGCCTGGGGTGATGGACGAAGGCCGGGCAGAAGGAGGTATCTTCCCAGGGGCAGGCAATGACAGGTGTGGAGTATTTACAAACAAGAAGAAAATCAACTGAACACTGAACCTACTTTCGTCATCACCAGGCGTGGGAAATGTTGCATAGTATCAGTAATAAAACGTCCTACCCAGGCCAAAAAAAAATGTTGTAAGTTTAAATAATTGAAACGGTTATTGTTGAGTTTTAATAAATTAAGCAAGTTTCTTGGCACCTCTTTATGACGGGTCCTTCAGAAAACATTGTATTCTGCAGGGAAGGTCATTTGGATAACTCATTTATGAAGTTGTTCCAGATAGACACTTTCCCAAGTATGCAGTTCATTCTGAGAGTAAATTCAGAGGGGACTGGAACTCTCTGTCCTCACTCTGGAGGTAGATCACGTCTCCAAACCCTCGGTATGACACAGTTCTTCTTCTTCGTCTTCTTTTTTTTAATGGTATATCAATTTAATGGAATACTATGCAATTGTGAACAAGAATAAGGTGGACCAATGCATACTGATTTATATTGCAATATGGTGCACACAGCACCATCTCCAGTACAGGGTGCTAAGTGAAGCAATATGCAGAGCACTCAAATCTTTTAAAAAGGGATGTGCATGTGCGTGTATGAACATGAATGATTTATACTCAAAGGACAGATGAGCAGTTCTGCAGATATAAAAGAAAGAATGACAGCGCGTGATTGTAAAGACAGAGACCTAAACTTGAACTACTTTGACTCTGCCATTCTCTGCTGCTGCTTGGAGATTTTGTTTACATTAAAAATTTAACACAGGGGCTGGAGACCTGGCTAGAGTGGTAGAGCACCTACCTAGCAAGCATGAGGCTTTGAATTCAAACTCCAGTACCTCCAAAAAGATTAAAAAAAAAAAAAGAAAATGAACACAGGTTGGTCATGGCTGCCCATACCTCTAATCCTAGCTACTCAGGAGGTAGGTAGGATGGTGGTTTGAAGCCAGCCAAGATAGTCAGTGAGACCCCATCTCAACCGATGTCTGGGTGGGGTGTTACATGCCTGCCATCCCAGTTCTGAGGGAAGTGTAAATAGGATTGCAGCCCAGTCCTGTGAGGCATAAATTTGGGGCTCTGTTTGGAAAATAACAAAAGCAAAAAGTGCTGGGGGCATAGCTCAAGTGGTAGAGCACCTGGCTAGCAAGCACAAAGCTGAGTTCAAACCCCAGTACCTCCTGACATAGTAAAGCAGAGGCTTCTGAGAAAAGTTCTTCACCAAGACCAAAAGAAATTTTGGTAAACAAAAGCTGAAGTTGGTGCCACAAGCATTGGCTCACACCTGTAATCCCAGGTGTGAGATCAGGAGGTGAAGATCAAGAGGATCTCTGTTTGAGGCCAGCTTGGGCAACATGTTAGCAAGACCCCATCTCAATAAATTAGCCAGGCATAGTGACGCATGCAGGCAATCCGAGCCATGCAGGAGTGTAGGCAGAAGGAGCTCAGTCCCAGGCAAAACTTGAGAATCTACCTGAAAAATAAGCGAAGCAAAAAGGCCTGGAGGCACAATTCAACACCTGCCCAGCAAGAGTGAGGCCCTCAGGTCAAGTCCCATCTGCCCCCTCTCCCAGAGGTGCAGGTGTTTTGACGTTAGGTAAAGGCACTTATTTAAAGGAAACGTGGAGTAGCATTTGTCCTATGTGTCTCCAAAGATGGTGGCCTGATTTTACAGTTGCAGGACCCAGGACCCTCATTTGTCCTGGGAATATAAATCAGGTTAAATAAAATGTGCTCTGTCCTCATGCTTTTAAAAAATATATGTTCATTTTTTCATATATTCATGTATTTCAAGACAAAATAGAAAAATGTGTATGTTACAGTTTTTATGTTACCAAAAGTTGGCAGATAACGAAGATGACTGAATTATTAATACATGTTTAAATGTCTTTTGTTCTGTTTGAATAACTATTACAAAAGCACACAATTAAGAAGTATTTTATGTCTCTCTAAAATAATTTTTTCCCTCATTTCTTGTTTCCTTTCTTTTTTTTTTTTTGGCGGCACTGGGGTTTGGACTCAGGACCTCTCACTAGCGAGGCCACTTGAGTCACTCCGCCAGCCCCCCATTTCTTCATAATCACAAATCCTGTCCTAATGAGAACCTTCACACACTTCTGTTCTGTTTATAGCAATAAGCTAAGGGGTTTGAGAAATGTAAATATTTCAAGCACACAAACTGAATAGATTTCTCTCAAAAATGTGAACGAACAAGTAAAGACATCAAAGATGTATTTCTTACATTTGTTTTCAAAGGAAGTTGTTTTTCCTTACACATTAAAATTAAAAACGGAATGGGAAACTTTCAAGTTACAATTAATAAATGTCAAAGTGGTAAATAAAACTGAGTTTTAAACTTAATTTTCTGAAAATTAAATAAAGCCTTATTAAATATCCTTGTAAATAATACTTCATATTTCTGGCGTTCAACTCCCGTGAACCTAAGGAGTCCCTATTTTGCGTCCTGCTTGTTGGGTTTTGTCCTGGTTCGAGGACAACAGGAAATGTTGAATATGGAACAATATTCCTCATTACAAGGTGCCATTTTGGCAAACACCATGTGAACCCAGGAGCAGAAACTACACAGGAAGAGGGGCCAGGAAGATGAGGTCTACCCAGATGTGACCATCTGCTCATGGGACCGAGTACAATTGGTCACACCCGTAATCCCAGCTACAGGGGAGATGGAGATAATAGGATCCCAGTGAGACTCTACCTGAAAAATAACTAAAGTTAAAAGGGCGGGTGGAGTGGCTCAAGTGGTAGAACACCTGCCTAGCAAGCACAAGACCCGAGTTCAAACCTCAGTACCAACAGAAAAAACAAAACCATCTACTCATTCCTGCCGTCAGAGGGTGAGCTGTCACACGGATCCATCCTCCCTCTTACCTGTGTGGGTCAGCTGCTCAGAGTCTCTCCCATCCTTGAACACCATCCCCTCCCCTCTGACATCTGCAGATGGTAAACCTACAGGTACAACCCACAGACCTTCATGGCACTTGGGGCAACAGGCTGCCCCACGCAAAGACGTAGGGCACCCAACATAGGGGAGTGTTCCCCTGGGGCCTGTGCAGTGCTGGTTAGGGAGTGGGTGGCACTGGATCCAAGCACCCCAGGGCCTTGCGAGCATCCATAAAACCACTTTCTGTACGTGTGAGAGTGGAGTTGTTGGAGCCACAGGGCTCACGATGGGAGTCCCTTTTGACCGACTCTCTGGTAGAGCTGACTATTCATCCAGAGAAGGGTCCTGGGTGGATTTCCCACTTAGGTGACTCTTTGTATCTCCCAGTGGCTGACTTGTCCAGGCCCAGCCAGGGCTTGGTCCAGACCCACCATTTTCCACGGACCGAAGGTGTGGCTCACCGCACAGCTCATTCTGTCCTGGCTGGCTCTCAGGGTGTGCAGGGAAGGAGGCAAAGCAAAGGTTGAAGTCAGTCTAGAGGAAGAAGTGTAAGGAAGCAGGGTGGAGGCCTGGAGCATCTCTCTGAGGCCGCTGCCTGTCCCTAGGCTGGGCATGGTCCTGACAGCATTGGAGCTGTGCTGACCTGGCTGTCCCTCCTGGGCTTCTGCCCTCTCTCCCTGTTTGCTGTCTTTCCTTGAGATCCCTACCCAGTGATGTCCCCTGGACTCCTGATTCTCTCTTGTGTCTGCAGCTGCCCAGGAGCTTCTCTCCCCTCCCTTAGGACACAGGGCAAAAGACCTGCAGCTGAGCTGGAGCTTCTGGCTCCTGAGGTCTGCAAGGGTGAGATAGAGTCTCACACCATGAGCACATGGCAACTGTTTTTTTTAAATTGATGGTGAGGCCACACGTGTCAGGTGCATGTCCATGTAACTGAGGGTCATCAGAAGGAGTGCCATAGTCAGCCCGGAAGGAGGAGGACTGGCCTGGGGCCTCTTTGGCTACCCTGGCGAAGTCTCTCTTTTGGAAAAGGTCTCAAGGCTGTCACAGGGAAAACAGGAGTGCACCACCCACTCATGGTTCACTGGTCTCCTCCAGAAATCCAGCCATGCACCAGGTGGAATTAGGTGTTATTAAGACCATGTCCAGAGCGTATCTGAACTGTGCTGTCAAGGACACCCACTTCTCTGGTTTCACAGATGTTTGGGTTGGATGTTATTCTTAAATGGGCTTTGCCAAAAACATCTTCCCACAAAGATAGCAGGTTCATTTCAATTCAGTGCTTCACTGTGGACGATCGCTTGCCTCTGTTCAATGCTGCATGCTGGGACTCAGTCTCCCTGCACACGCTTTCATCCCATTAGCGCCGGCTGCAGCCTCGGCTGACAGATTGAGGCGGGGGGGAGGTGGACCCCTGCTACTGCCCCATGCAGAGTGGGAGGCTGTGTGTGCTAATAGTCCTCAGTGAGCCTTCTGAGCCATATGCTACCTAGGATTGCGTTTGCATGGAGACACACAACATCTTATCACACAGGGCCAGACACAACAGGCAACAGCAGGACACGGCAGCCACAGGTGGGCCAGTGTCTTCTCCAGCCGAGGGCGGGTGCCCCGTGTTTAGTCTGGCAGAAATTCCCACCAGAAGGTCATTGTGAGGAGATGGGACAATGCCACATGTCCTGGGCCTGTGGACTGCTGCAGAATTTAAAAGGATGCTCTCTGCACCATATAGCAAGAAAACACTTGACATTCTTGTGCCTGGCTCCACCATTCTTTCAGGCACTGGCTGAGGTGCTCCGGGTTCATTTACCTGTGACGGCTCCTCTGGTGACAGGTGACCCAGAACTGAAACCTTAGGGGTTGGGGGGGTCAGCTTTTGAGCCCCATCCGTGAGAAGATATGACTGAGACAGGGCAGCAGAGATGGATTAGGAGCCAGGGCATTCTGTGCAGGGCTGGCAGGTCCCTGTGGGAAGGCTGCCCTCCCACAGGGACCTGCCTACCAAAGGTGCAGAGTGCCGGGGTCCGGGTGCAGACATGACTGATCTCTGCTCCACTTGCATTGGGGTTGTGACTCTGGAGGGGGATCTCTGTTGTCCCCAGCTATGTTGAGCGGAGTTCTAGTTCAGGTTACCTGCACAGGTGCCTC